ATTTATATATATAGTACGGCTCAATCCTGCTCCCAGTGAAGTCAACAACAACAACAACAACAAAAACCCCCATTGACTCGATGGGAGCAAAATTCAGCCTATCATCTGCAGACAGGTAAGTAATTACAGAGGCCGTACAATGCCAACTCCGCAATGGTTCCAATTCCCTCTTGAATTGCTGGTGAAATGTTTTGTTAAAGCCCTGGTTCTTTGCACTCAGAAGATGGAAACTGGTGGCTGAATTATGGCCTCACCAAATGAATGAAAAAAGGAAACCCAAAAGACCAAAGCAGAATGGGAACCAAAGACAACTTGGACTCATTAGCTCCGCATCTCAACCTAACAGGACTAACACCACCAACAAGTAGCACCAAGACTCCTCATCTGAACACCTGAAGCCAACTCAAGCTCTTGTTTCTGGCCTCAGAGGAAGCGATTATTCTTCTTCATGAATCTTGGATGTGTAGATCCGGTGAAAAGGGGAAAATTCAGTTTGCCAAACTAAGACAGAAACAAAACCTTAAGCCCCACTTTGCTCATGCTAAGATGACTGGGGGTTTTGAACACTAGTTCCCTGGGTGGCAGGAACAGTCCAACACCAAATCTCTATTGCCTCAAAATTGACCATAGCTCCAAGAAAATACATCTTGGACCACCTAGGCCTGCTCCTGCTGATGTCTTGGTCATGCTCCCACTGAACTCAGTGCTCAAGGTCCTCCAGTGGAAAAAGGACTGTCCCCAGAGCTCCTGTGCATACAACACACGAGGTCAGCTGGAGGCACAGGGGTTCCCACATCCCTGGCAGGGAGATGGCTGTCCCCAGGGGATGGGATGACGTGGAAGAAACGCAAAGCAAATCAGTTCAGTTGCACCACTGAGACCCATAACCATGAAGATTTCAAGAGTGTATCTAAGCTGGGCACACAGTCCTCTTCCAGTGACACAAACATGCCCATTAACTCATACTGGAGCATCCAGTGATGGAGCAGGGGAGGGCAAGCTGCTGCCAAAAGGCTGGGAATTTCCACAGCATCTAAAAAAGCTCAAAAGAGAAACCACCAGCTTTGAAACCCCTTTGAGCAGCCCAGTCTCAGCTGATTTTTTATCCCATCCCCTCCTGTCTTCTAGCTTGGCCTGGAATGGAAACAATGGGCTGGAGTGTGGGAAGGGGAGGGTCGGCATCCCGCTTCCCGCTCACGGGAATCACCTGTCTGCTCAGGTAGCAGCTTTCTCCATCCCCCCTCCTCACTCCCAGTTTCTCGCAGCTCTTCGGGATTCAGACTGTGCAGTGCTTCCGAGTGCAGTAATTCGAGCACAGTGAAATACTGGTTACATGCGTATGTACAGTTGGATAATGTAAAAAATAAGCACAAATACACACTTAAAAAAATATTCTGGCAAAAAAAAAATTAAAAAATCATAAACTCCACCCTCCCTCTACCCCCACAAACAACAATATACCGGGGAAAAAATACCTTCACCTTAGTTCCTGGATTTATCACAAAGCACAAGGAAAACAAAACCAGACAATGTTAGAAAACCTCACGGTACTTCTAGGGAAATCTACACTTAAGTATCTAGCTCTCTACTCAGCTGGCAGAATCAGTGTTTTCCTTTCAAACACACAAAAATAGGCTTTGCTCTTCTTGGATTTGGATTATGCGGGTTTTCTTTTCTCCTTTTTTTGTTGTTTATTTTTTTCTTTTCTTCCTCTCTGTAAAGCCTCCCTTGATATATTTTTTTTTTCCCCCACTTGAACCAGTTGCAGCAAGAAACTTTTGTTGGCTATTGGGTTTTCTTTTTTTTTTCTGTCTCTCTTTTTCTTTTCTTTTTTTCTTTTTTTTTTTTTTTTTTAGTTTTTTCTTTTCTTTTCTCCTTAAACACAGGTAAAACCTAGAACAAACCGACAGTTACAACCAAGTGAAACCGAAACCAGAAGGGAGGTAGCTGGAACCCGATTTCAAGAGTCCTCTGGTGCCATCCTCCTTTCTCAGCCTGGGGAGGGGAACAGCGGAAGATGCAAGAAAAGCAGGAGGACACCAGCTCAGCCCGGCTGCCAGAGGGTGAGGAGGGAGAGGGGGTAGCAGCTGATTGGAGTTTCCCACCCCACTATGCACCATTCGCTGCTTTCTGCTCCATCTTCCCCTCCCTCTGGCTGTGGACATCACCCATAGCCAGGAGACTGGCTGGTGGCCCCAGGTTGGGTAAATCCTTGGCTCACTATCTGTGACAGAGAAGATCTTGGCACTAATGTGACCTGGACTTTATGAGCAGCTAAATTACATCAGCATGGGCACCCTCTCCTGTTCTCCCAAGCTTCTTGTCTGATGTTGTCCTACACCACTGGCTGGGTGGGTGAAGGTGGTGGGTCATGTCCCTCTCCCCTCCCACCCAGTGGCCATCACAGTCATGGAAGGTCCTTCCTAGGGACTCCATCAGGCATTCAAGGCCCTTACAGTGGTAGATGCTGCAAGACCATCCAGCTGGCCTTGCTCCAGGGTGGGGACACAGGGGACAGGAGCTGGGTAGATGTCCATGCCCCACAGCTCCCCTCTCTGCACCCCCAGGGAGCATGGTAGAGCACCTGAAACGCAGAGGGCAAAGCTTTGCCTCAATGCAATCTTTTCCCAATGGGAAAAAAAAAAATGCCATTGGATTTAACATGACTCAGAGCAGATCTTCTGCTCCTGGTTCTGTCAGCCCCGTTGGAGAAGATGGACAGTGCCAACACAGTAGTTGGAAATAATAATAAAAAAAAAGCAAATAGCAGCATGGAAAACCTGCCCATGGGAAAAGGAGTTGGGTCAGCCCTGGACTGCAGGAGTGAAACTGAGGTGTGAGGCTGTGCTGGCAAGAGGTTGTCATCTCCCTTCAGCTGAGGACTCCAACTTGGCAAGCAGAGTCTTGCCCTGGCCAGGCAGAGGAGCTCAGCAGGCCCTGAGCTCCTGGGAGCCCACAGCAGCAAGTGGCAATAATGCTTATAGAGACCTGTCTCTCTTGGACAATGTCCTAGGTGGGAAAAGCAGATGGAAAATCTCCTCTGTGCTGAACTGCGTAACTGATAAGGAGATTTTGCAAACTCAGCTGCCACCAGGATGCATGCAGGACCTGAACTGGGCTCCCTGCTAGGGCAAAACCCAGGTGGGGTGGAGGGGGGAGATCACACCAAGATGCCTCAGGTGCTGAAGACACAATGTGTTGGCCATCTGAAATGCTTTTGAGGTCGTGAATGCTTCTGCTGGTCTGGATGGCACATGAACAAACTACCAACACAAAAGGGGACGACAAAGGGACCTGAAGGAAGCAACATTTTCACAGTTATTTACTTTCTTTGTTAATTAGGTGGCAAGGGGCAGAAGTGGAAGTTTGGTCAGGCCCAGTTTTTGCCAACGTTCTCTATGCTGGAGGAGCCTAAACCCACGGAAGGACTTAGATCCCACTGAGGATCCCACTGCGCATCCCTTTCCTGTAGCCCCCCCACAGTGGAGGCAGATCCATCTGCAGAGCTCCCATGACCAGACCTTCTCCAGGAATAACTAGGAGCTTCACAGCAGATTGCTTCTCACCTGTGACAATCACCTCTCCAGGCCTCTAAATTTTAGTTCTCAAGGTTCACCTCTGGTTTATACTGACAGAAACAACTCCAACAGTGGGTGATGAGCCTGGCTCCTTGCTCCTGAGCTCCTAGGAGCCCACAGCAGCAAGGGGCAATAATTGCACCTATAACTCTGACAGGCTACCCATTTTTACATCCATCTCCATGATCTAAATGAACCCCCCTTAACCTTCTGCTTTGCTCCAGTACCTAAACATTCAATCAAGCAGGAGCAGGAAAAAGTCTTTCCAACCTGTCTTTATCCAGTAGATGTACAAGTTGGGAGAATCCAAGGAACAGAGAGATGTAACACTTGGAAGGACACTCTTTTGGATGCATGTTCTTCCTAGCAGGAGCCTAAAGCAGCAGGAGACAAGCCCAAGCTGCACTAGGATTTACATGGGATGGGTTGTAGCAGCAGCACTAGATGCGCTGGGCACCTCAGTGACTCAACGTGATGAACCCTATGATGAAATGAGTCCCCAAGGGTCTGACACAACATGTGCCCCCCTGGGCTGAAGCAGGAGGATGGAGCTATACAACAGGGAAGTATGAGGTCTGCTGCAGCTAATGCCCTTCCTTCTGGAAGATTACAAGCAGCTAAGCTCCTGGTCTATCAAAGGTGTCCAACCCACTGGCCTGGCAGCTTAATACTGACAAATGTGGCCAAAATTCTAATACTGTCTCCTGTGATCCTTTTCCCATAGCATGTGCTCCTCCTCCTCTTCCCTTCTCCTGAGAAAACAGGAGCATGAAGTGGTTGATAGATAAATACCACCATAGGAGTGGGGTGGAGGAAGTCTAGAGAACCACTTGGCTGGGTGGAGACCAGAAAGCAGATTCCTTTGGCTGGCTGGTGTCCTGTTTTCTTGCCCCAATGCTGAGGAAGAGACCAGAGGGTTTGAAAGGCAGGTTGTAGATAAGCTTTAAGGCAGACTGTTTGGTTGCGTGGGGTTGTTTTCACCCTGTCCTGACACAGTAAAGAAACGAGTTGTATGGGACATAGCAGCAGGAGTAGCAGCAGCAGACATGCTCAAATGACAAGTGCGGGCGCCAGTTACCCCCTCTGCTCCTCAGAAGCAATCATCCACGTTCCTCAATGCCAGTCCTTAGACTCCCCACTCCCTGACTCCATCATGGGACCACCTGCCCACCTCCACACAGAAATGTCCCAGCAGCCCTGCAGCTTCCAGGCAGGCTGCAAAGGGGGCTTTTTGTTGTCTTTTTGAGGGCAGGGGGAGAAGGAGGAGCTGTACAGAAAGGCCACTGCAGTCTGCTGAGCTCCCTGGCTGGAAGTAGCATTCCTGTGAGGAGCAGATGCATCTCACATCTCGAGCTGGCTGGGCATCTGGCAAGTGACTTGCCAAGAGGCACAGCCCTGTGGAGATCCCACTCCAACCTCAGTGCCCCGAGCATGCCATACCTTGGCATTCAGCATCAGAAAAGGCTCAGCTTGGAGTCCCCAAGAGCACAGCCTCTTCCATGAACGGTCTGAGTTGTGAGTGCTGGAGAGGGGAAAGTGTTTTTGCGTTGATCATAATCTCTCACTCTTTTTCTCTTTCTCTACTTATTTCTATAAATATGTGTACATAAATAGCTTGTTTCTCGCCTTGAATCTAGATATGAACTGTTCAAATTAGGTGGGCATAACATGCTGTTTTGATACATGAAAGTCTTCTCGACTTGACTCTTGGCTGTTTGTTTCTTGTCATCACTATTTAAGATATAGTTAATACATAAATCCCTACTTTGAGTTCTCCTTGGACAAAAAATTAAAGGCAGACTGGTTGAATTCTAAGAGTCCCTGGTGCAGAAATGCCATCCAGTTGAGCAGCTAAATGTTAAAAACGATACCAAAAGGGATGTGGTGTCTCTCCTAGCCTGCCTTGAGCAGTGTGGTACTCCATTCCATGTCGCTTGGCATTACCCAAGACTGAAGCTGCGGAGATCTTTCTGGTTGTGCTCTTGGGCGTTGGGGTCCCGGCAAGCACACTCTCCTTGTAGGTCACAGGACATAGGGAAGGGAGTAACCTAGGGAAGGAAACCAAAGACACAAAGCCATGAACACACCTACAGCATTCTGGAGACCAAATGAGACATCTAGAGTGGTATCTTCAGAGATCAGTTGCAGTCTTCAGCCGTGTTATTTTTTTTACAGTGATTTATTTTAGTGCTGAGCTGGTGGTGCACTGAGGCTGCAGGTGGGCTACCTGTCCATAAGAGAGGCTGGGGAAAGTGTAAAGAAGAACCTGTTCAACTCATGCAGATGCTAGTCAGCAGATACTCCCTTAACAGTTCACATCAGGCACATGAAGACAGCTGTTTGGGGAGAGATGTACTTCTCAGGCAACTCTGGGGCTTTTTTGGGTACTTACCATGATGGCTGGATCACATTACGCTGCCAACCTCTTCTGAAAAGCTATCCTTACCCCAAAGGCTACAAACACTAAACGACCGAAAAGTTACGAAACCCTCATCTCACATGACCAACTCAAATGATCACCAAACATGACTGGGTCCAGCAGACCCCCAACTCCAGTCTTCCCATAGCACTTCTATCCACCTCCATCTTGGGGTGTTTGGAGAACCCTACTCCTGGGCCATAATCTCCTCTCTGTAGGGTACCACTTTGCAGCAGGGCTTGGGTGTTGCTGCTGTGCTGAAGTCCGTTTGTGCACTTCGTTAGGAATGTTCTTGGTTTCAATTCCTCAGGGCAGGAGCTGACCCAAACACTACCTAGCAGATCAGTGAAGCTGTAATCCAGCAGAGAGACATCTCTAAATACCTGCTGTGTTTAAGGTCAAGAGATGCAGCTAACGGGCACTGAGGAACAGCAAAGGAATGCAAAGAAGAGACTGCAACGTGCATGGTCTGTCATCTGTCCGTGATGTCTCTGGAGAAGCGTGGGAAGGAGCTGAAATAATAGCCTGCAGTGCCTGGCTAGAGGAAGTTGATTTTGGCCTATTGCATCATGGTATTTACATAAGGAAAAGGGGGTGATGGTGGAACGGTGTCTCGCTTGCCCTAAAGTGAATTCCCGAGAATTTCTCCCATCTGCACAGACTGTGCAAATGACCTCATCCCCCTCCTTCACACTCCTTCCAAGACAGTGCCACAACCTGTTCAAACGTTCTGGCAGGGGCTGCACGCGCACGCTCCGTCTGCTTCCCTTGACTTTGCTGCCACATGTTTGCTCTCTCTTTCATAAACACTTTTCTCCAGGCTATGAAGCCTGGGTCTGCCTGTTCATCAACATGTATCATCAACAGCACATCTAGGAATGTAGACCAAGCATTGTGCGTGAACGTATAGCTGTCATTTCCACCTAGACCTTCCATACGTGTCCCTGCATGTCCATCTCTAGCATGCCTTTCTCCTGATGCACACAAGAATGGGATGGAGAGGTGTGGATCTTTATTTCACAACTCGGAAGCCTAAGGCTGACGTGCTGACAGAGACATTAAATAGCCAACGTTCATCACCAAATCCTCCCCATGACTTCATTCCCAGAAGACCTGACCCTCCAGGTAGAACAGCATGATGACTCTTCATCAAGCTGTGGCCTTGGTGACTTATGAGCTAAATAACCAGTCAGTAAATAATCTGAATCTACAATTGTGCAAATGCAGAGGTTGCAAAGAGAAGAGATAGTCTAAAAAGTTAAAAGCAAACGAATTCAAATAATTGGAAACTAAAGATGTTTATAAACTGCAGAAAACAATAGGAGCTTAAGGGTCACTTGATCCAACAGAAGCCAGCTGGAGCAGGACTGTCTCATATCACAGCGTTATGAATATTCTTAGATAGGAAAATAGAGACATCTGCAAACAATGGGCTTTGGGAAGGAGGCTGATTGTTTAATAACTGAATTAAAATATTGGAAAGGAAAAAAGAAAAGATACATAAAAAAAAATACTTTTTCTTCAATGTAGAAGGAAACATTTTGGTTTAGATTATCTGCTACAGTTCAGGTTTGATCTTTCCCTCTAAGACACACAAATAAAATACTATTTCAGAGCAAAAGTTATGTCTTGAAATAAAAAGTTATTTCACTTAGAAAAATGCTCAAGCAAAACATTTAAATATGGTTTGGTTTTTGTTTTGTTTTTTTTTTTGTCCTGAATCATTCAGTTCAATCTGGATTTGGCAATGATTTTGACTTAAGAAATCCTCCCTGTTGTACAACGAAGCTACTGGTTGGAGGCAAGACCTGGGAACATGATCCTTTCATTTGTCTTGATCAAGCTTTCCCCTCTCCCTGGCCTGGATTCACTGTGTTTGTCTGTAACAGTCTAGCAAAGGTGATGAAGTGGCCCCTGCGTTCAAAGGAGAGAGACAGGCTCACAGAGAAAGTGGATCTACATTTTGCATTGAACACAGGACAACCACACACCCAACTTGGGCATTTCAGTCAAGTGGCTGAAATGAGCCGTGACATCCTACTGCACTTTGTCTCTGCTGCTGTCCATGCATGAGTGAGACAGTGAAACGTGCTGCAGGCACAGAGATCCCATCGATGCTACCATTTTACTACCATTTCGCTTGTGGGACCATCAGAGCCAAGAGTGAAAGCCCTGCACACCTGTGCCTCCAAACTACCAGCTCATGTTCCCCTAACCTACTCCATGGGCTCTGCTGGAATAGTGGCCTAACAAACCCAGACTGGCATGAGCCTGATGTTGCCTTGAAGTGATTTACCTTCTTCATCCCTTCTCCTCCCATTTCTCCTCACGAGTCTCGTTTACCCCTTTGCTTTCTCACGGGTCACTCTAAGCATGCGCTCAGCACCAGAGCAACCTCAACAAAAGATGCACAGAAGAGACCAGATCCCTGCTACATTGCAGCCATATTCTGGAGAGAGGGAGCCACTAGAGAAGAAATGTCTTGTCATGTGTTGTCCTCTAGAAACCCTCCAGTCTCCTAACAGCAGTCATGGACAAAAGTGTAGGAGCTTTCCTCACTGGGACAGAGCCGTGTCCTCCAGAGCAGTTTCATGGCTCAGTAGCAGTCACAGCAGTGGGTAGCCTGAGTGTAAGAGGGTTTCCTCCTGATCAGATTAGTCTGATTCACTTCATGTCCCTTACAGAGCTTTTTATGCAATTTGATTTTTACAGTGCTATTGTCCAGCTAGATGAATTGTTTTGTCTTATGGCAGCGAGCTCGAGAGATCAGTTTTCTATTATGTGAAAAGGCAGAGATTTCTACGGGTCATGAGCACATCCACAGTCATCTTCAACAAGATAAAATTCTCCAAACACTTAGCAGTAACGCAGGGTTTCCAGTTTAAACAATACCTACAACAAATATACATTTGAGTTCCCCAAGAAACTGATTTCCACAGGTATTTAGGGGATCAAACCCACACATAGCACCTACTAGGAATGTCACAAGTACCCAACTTTGAGAAACCATAAAAACCCTTAGAATTAGGACTGTCTTTTGCTTTGGGCTCATACAGTGATAGCTCTCTAGAGTAGAGAGCCGTGAATAAAGCTACTGGATGTGTTAGAAATAATAAATGCTGAACCTTTTTCTGAATGATAGCCAATTTAGGTGTGGAGCCCAGATATACATACTCCAAGATTAACTGCTTCTTTTCTTTTTAAATAGGTCTGTGAAAGCCCAACTCATTAAGAGAATATATGACCTGTACTGAAATTTCCAGATACACTTATTGCAAAGCCAGTATTAACGAATCATCTCTCCCTCCTTCCATTTGCCAAGTCCTGTGTTCACCCTACACGTATCTCCCCTTGGAGAAAACCTGGCTAATATCTAGGAGAGCAGGGAGAAAAAGCTGAAGATTAAGCTTAGGCTCTGACTTGGTCATTTGATGAAGTAGTGCAAGATATTGTCTCTCAGACTAAGTAAAATAGGTTGAAAAAGGCACAACTGAAGAATGTAGCTCCACATGTCTATATGCACCCCCTACACACACATATCTCCTGGAGATGATCCAGAACACAGTCATGATGTGGACTGACAGCACTCAGAGGAATGTGGGTCACACCTGAACCACACTGGACCACAGACTATCTATCTTCAAGAGAACACAGACACAAGCTAAATCACATCTGTCAACCCAGGAGCGTGCACTGCATGACACACCATGCTCTGAACCTAAAGGAGAAATTGCAGCAGGCACAGGCTTATGGGCTAGGCAGGAAGCTAGCATGGACATCTAGGGTGTAACACACATGAGATCTAAGATACCTCCACCTTGACCAACTCACCACCCATGCTGTGCAGCATATGAACCCATACCTCCATTCTCCACAAAGGTACGGGAGCCCTGAGTATCCTCTCCCACGTTAGGTGATGAGAGCATGGATAAAACCCAAGCTCCCTCTTGGAAACAGGATGGAATTTGTCCTTGATGCCATGCTCCTGACTGTGGGAACAAATACAATGATACAATAGACCAGTGCAGACCTGGGATCCAGGTCATGAAATGAGTGAGTGGCCACAAATCCTCACTACATGGCACCTATCTAAAGAGCCTGGTGACATCCCAAGACAGATCCTTGATGAGAAAGGCCAGTCTATAGGGAAGTGGTGGGAACGTTGACAGGAGAAATCCCAGACAGGTACAGGGAGGGATGGGAAACAGTTGTGCAAAGGGTTGGAGCTCATCTCTCACACAGGCTCGTATCAGGTTGACCTGGCTGAACCTCCCATCCAGCACTTGGGGCTGGTTTACAACAGGACCAGGACAGGCAGAATCAGGCCGAAGGGAAGTGCCAGGGTTGGAGGCAATGGGGGCTGCAAAGTGTTGGGAAACAGCCTGTTGTTAGATTTCAGCCCTGAAGTGTTTGCGAAATCTCCCAGACAAGCCGAACTGGAAATATGAAGGTCCTGATGCAGACAGAGCCTCAGCGGGCAAACGCGGCGTGTCGAGATAAGCGTGGCAGGCCGTGCTGAGTGTCACAGCCCCACGCCTCCTGAGACCCTCACAGCTCAAACGCCGAGGAGTATTTTGTTCCCTGACAAAGCCCTTGTGGGACAAAAATGCATCTTGTAAGGGTCTTCTC